AAATAATGTGAAGAAATGCAATAACGTTCACCTTGTGTGCAAAAACAATCCGATCACAGTACATAATATAACTCAATTGATTAATGCAATCTATCGTAATCTAAATTCATCCATATTTCTCAAACAAGCAACTTTCACAAAAATAGATTTGAATTGCACGTGATTCGAAAATTATGAAGAATGAATCGTGACGGTAGTAGCATTGTAATACAAATAAGAACGTGAAGCACAAAAATATAACCACACATGGACAAATCAGTCACATGTGAGACGTTCGGATGGAAAAAATCTAACCACAAACGGACAAATCAATCAAAAAATCATGAGATCATAGCATTTCATATATGCTCATGCAAAACACACGTGCAATGTTAGAATGAACCAAAGTTTGACTCGTGGAATTGAGTGGAGGGAAGGACTGAACTGTGGTTCTTGACAGTTTATCTGTTGAGAATTATTGAGGCTAACTGTCGGGAACGACAGTTAAGCGCGATGGTATTTCTCTACACTAGTGAACTGTCGACAGATGAACTATCGGGAAATCTACTTTTCACCTCTAAGCGAATAGGTATTAGTGAAAATTATTTCACTCCATATTCGAGCATAACAAAACATTAAAACCACAGGTATGCTGTCAACTGTCTAGCAAGAGTTCAACCCAAATATGAGTACCGCCCACAACAAATGGATTCCAAGTGATAGCAATGTTATTTCCATATCACACAAGTACCAAAAATATTGAAACGAAAGGTATGTCAAGTGTCAATCCAGATTTTCACCCAACATTGAAACAACAAAATACTTGAAATTTGAACTTTGAAAGCAAAGGAAGAGAATAAATATTAAACTGGAACCCTAGATAATATTTTCCCTCAACATTAGTGTTGGCAAGTGTAACGTGTGCATATATGCATCACTAAAAGAAGATGTATATAAAAGAGAAAATTAAAATTTATGGTATGAAATTGCAAAAGGTAAGGGAAAAACATTTTCAACCATAAAACAGCCAAAAATTATTCAAAATGTTCAAAAAGTTATAGGATATTAAAAAGATTTTTACCTCTTTCTAATCCAAGCCCCAGGTCTTATTTTAAACCCAACAAAAAGCTCCATTTTTTCGCATCTCATAAACCATTTACAGATGAAAATATTACAAAAGTTGAGTAAAAAAAAGGATTTTTCTCTCTTGGATCGAAGTCTGTAATGAGAGAGAGAGAGAGAGAGAGAGTTAGGGTTGTTTGAATGAGAGAAATAAGATTCATCTCTATTTTTTTCCAACTTTTCATCCTTGAAGTTGATAATTTTTTGTACAATTTCTTCTATTGGGTCAAATCTCATTTAATTAGGGCATGTATGAAATTTGAAATTATCTTCAGGGGCAAATATATCTTAAATTGACATTCTTGCAATCTTTAAAAAAAAGTGACATTTTTGTAAATATCTTGGAAAAAATTGACATCGTCTGCAATTTCCTCAATAAAAATAAACAATATTTTATGGGCACACACAACTCAACAAAGCTAATGTCTTTTTTTCTTCCTTAAAAATTAAATAGTATTTCATGAAAAGAGGTTCAAAGTCTAACTCACGAGTCGGTCTTTAGTAGCGTCATCCACTACGCTATCTAGCTCAAACTTGCAACTCAACTCAACTAGGAAGGTCCAAGACGGTGGTGGTACTCCTCAAATTAGACTCTAGAATTCAAATGTAGAAGTTAATTAGCTGATTAACACATATTTGCTTAGCTTTCAACTGATAATCGACTACTAACTGTTGGGACCGATGAAGACAACGCAAGAATTGAGATTTGATGAACCTAATATGAAGTATAAATAAAGATCACAAAATAACCAAGAACAAGATTAAAGTAAAAGATGCAAAATAAAAGGAAACTGGCAGAGGAACAATGTTATTTTATTCAATCACTATGGAGAGAATTGCAGCAATTGGCTTCAACCAAACTGAAAGAGAAGCCACGTATTTATAGTACACGAGTCAAACGCTAAAACTAGAAAAAAAATATAAAATTAGGAAAAAAAATCACGTAAAAGAAAAAGACGTGTCACGTGTCCGACAATTTTCTTTCCTTTCTTCACGGTTTCAAATTATTTCCTTCCTAATCTTGGATTTCAATTGATTCTTTCCATATTTCTTGAATCCTATTGATTATTTCCTAAAATCATATGGCTCCAACAAGATTTCTTTCCAAAACCTAAGATTACCAAATTCTTGCCAAATTTCGAGACACATATTTAACAATCTCCACCTTGACTTGAAATTCCTGTGCAACGAACGATGCTCCAAATTTCTCCACCTTGAGAAATGATCCGTCCGCATCAGAATAACCGAGCTCTTCAACACAGTAACCGAACTCTCCACGAAAACACGTTTCCCCACTCGGCGTCTACATGCGACACCCGAACCCAAACCTAGGTTCCCAAAATTCCACCTGGAATTAATAATCACTAGACAGGGTCGGAGCACACCCTGTAGTAGAAACCACACCAAATGCACGATCGGAATGCCCTTTGCTAGAACTGTCACCATTAACGATCCCTAAGGCATAACAAACATTATTGACACCACTAAACCTACACTCCATGAGTCCACTAGCACAAGAACAAAGTGTATCTACTGAAATTGGTGGCAAAGTAGAATCACCAACACTCCCACGAGCAAAGTTCGAAACTGACCCAGAGCCTAACACAAGAGGTAATGTACCAAACTGAATTTCCACCACGGTACTAAACTTGTCCAAATGTCTCTGAACTGGTTCTGCACTTCCCTGCAAAATGTACAATTGGGATCTCATTCCTCCCTCCAGTACAATCCGAACACCTTTCTGAACCTTCAGGACTCCACCTCCACTAGAAAATTTATACCCTTTTGCATCCAGGGTACTAAGCGATATGAGATTCTTTGTCAAGTTTGGAATATGACGAACCTGATCAAGTGTCCTCACTGTCCCATCTTGTAGCCTCAATCTGACCCGATTGATTCCTACAACCCAGTAAGATTGGTTGTTTCCCATGATAACTCTACCTTGCTTTATCGCCTCATATGTCTGGAATAACGCCCTATTAGAACATATACGATACGAACATGCAGGATCCAGAATCCACTCCTCAGGTTTGGATTTCCCATCAGATATAGCCAACATCACATCTCCATCATCAGAAAAATTTTCAACTACATTGGTTTCGTCCGAATTACAAGATTGCCCCAAATGATTTGCATGTAAATTACCTTTACCCTGCAACTTGTCGCAATCTTTCTTGACGTGTCTTTTTTTCTTACAGTAATAACAATACACATTGCTGTACCTCACCTTCGATCTACCCCTCCGTCGATCACCATAAGTAACAGGAGCATCCCCACCCTTAGATGTAGGATCTCTTACCAACAGCTCCATCCTCTCCTTTGAGAACAGGGCTTCATATACCTCCTCAATGGTAAGCGTGTCACGACTATACAGAATAGTATCACGAGACGACGAAAAAGAATTGGGTAGCGAACACAACAGGATCAAGGCCAGATCCTCTTCATCATACTTTACCTCCAACGTCTCCAGATCTGCAATGATTTCCTTGAACATAGCAAGATGGTCCTGCAGTGACCCTCCTTTTGCCATGCGATGGGAATACAACTTCTACTTTAGAGTCAGTTTGCTCGTCAGACTCTTTGTCATGCACAACTGCTCCAGCTTGAGCCATAAAGCAGCCGCTGTCTTCTTCTTCAAGATCATTATTTGGCAAAAATAAAGTTTTGAATAATGAATTTTTGGAGAATGTGTAGTTAAAAAGTAGAGAAAATTTTTAGATTTATATGCAAAATATTTTATTGTTTGATTGAAAATGAACACATAGAAAAAAGAGTTTTGAAATAAATTCCGTCAAACATAGGCTAAATAGAATAGTCTAATCTCTTTATTGAAAAAAAAAAAAAGATAAAAAGAACTATAAAATCAAGTACTTTTAGAGTCAGTTTGTTTCCCATTATGGGAGAAATTATAGAATTTTGAAAAGTATATTTTGAAGAATGTGTGATTAAAATTTATAGAAATTTTATTGATTTGTGTGTAAAATATTTTATTGTATGAATATGTGGTGGAGAATGTTACTTTAGCAAATAATTTAATTTGTTAAAAGATGACAAACAATGGCTTAATTATAACTTATTTAAGTACTAATTTAGTTTGTTTATGAGTGATGATCCTATTTATACAATGAAATATAAAAATATTTCTATTTAGTAAATAATAATAATGACATAAATTATCTATATGAATAATATTATTCTTGGTGGCAGAGAGAAATTCCGTCGAGCAATGGCATTGACAAACTGTTAAAAGCAAACATTAGATTCCTTTGTATTTCGTAAGGAAAAAGTTAACAAAAAAATCCTTTCTATTTTTTTTTTTTTGGTTAAAATGCCAAAGCGACATTATTGGAAAAATTGCAGCGGAGGTTCCAAACTTTTAAAATATTAGCAGATTTTTTTCAATCTTTTAATTTGTTGCAATCGTTATTCCAAACTTTTCGAAACGTTGCAGCTGAGTCCCTTTTGGACGGGGTGAAAGGAAGAAGATGAGTGGTTTTTTCTAATTTCTTATTTTTTCCAATTTAATTTCTAACTTATATTAATGTAATAAATGAAAAGTTAAAAATATGGTTAAAGTCAAATTTTTTAATCAACTAATAGATATTTAGATGAAAACCGTCCAAAAGAGCCTACGCTGAAATATTTCGAAAGGTTTTTTAGGGTGACGGTTATAACAAATTAATGGTTTGGGAAAAGTCTAATAATATTTAAAAGGTTTGGGTCTCTGCTGCAATTTTCCTCGAAATTATTACAGGGGACATACTGACGCGTGTCACCCTGGAACTGGCTTTTCTTTGTCCAAACTGAGATCCTAGAATATGGACGTCGCCGTTGTCCAGATTCATTAGTTAACTGTATATATGATGTATCCGTGGCTACTTCCCTCCATCTGAATCTGCCAGCCTCTCTCTAGATTGCGGATGTATATACTGCTGTGTATGAACTTTTATAGAGATTATAAAAAATGGAAGGGGGTTTAAAGAAGATGGTGAAGAAAGAGAAAGAACCATTTCATGTAATTCACAAGGTTCCTTCAGGTGATGGTCCATATGTTAGGGCTAAGCATGCTCAGGTCTGCTGTTTCCATCTATCAAATCTCTCTTTCTATCCCGACTCTCAAAGTTCTATCTAAAAAGGTCAACTTTGTTAGAACATATATCAGTATTCTCACGTTCAATATCAAAATTCTTTGGATTTTTAAAAGTTTTTAATTGTATTTGAAAACCTTGAATGAACTCTAATGTATCGTTTCGAATTTTTTTTACCAATTGCACATTGTTATGGACTTTTTATGGCTTCAACTAATAAGTAACTTCATTCTAGCTTCAAAAAAATAAAAAATAATAATGATAATAATTAAAAATTATGTCGGATCGATTTTGACATTAAACTAGAACAAGAAATAAATTGTAAAATATCTTTCGTAGCGTTCCTTATTTAACTTTTTTTTTTTTTTTTTTTTTTTTCAATAAGGTTTAGGATTTTTTTTTCATTCGACTCTCATAATTCTATCTAAAAAGGTCAACTTTGTTAGAACATATATCAGTATTCTCACGTTCAATCAGGATTGTCTAGCAAAATTGTAATTATAATATATTTTCTTGATGTTTTTGAATATTTTTTGGGTTTTAGATAGTACAGAAAGATCCAGAAACAGCTATAGTATGGTTTTGGAAGGCCATTAACGCAGGAGATAGAGTGGACAGTGCTCTCAAGGATATGGCTGTGGTTATGAAACAATTGGATAGAACTGAAGAGGGCATCGAAGCCATCAAGTCCTTTAGGAGCCTTTGTTCAAAACAAGCCCAAGAATCACTTGACAACGTTCTCATTGACTTGTACAAGGTATCCAGCATATAGATCATCATGCTCGTAACACTTACGCCTTCTTCTTCTTTTTTATATTTTATTTTAATTGTGATTTTTAAGGGTAAAATTTCATGTCAATTAAAGATAAAATAAATATATAAATTAGAATTGGACTACACATCTTAACAACGTCTACCTTTTAAGATTAGATTCAAATCTCAGTAGTAGTAAAGAATTATTCATGTATATGGCAATGAATTCTCATGTCGTTTTGACTGACGAGGATATCGTCTCCATTGAAACATGGCATATAATCATACATGAATCAAAGCCTATTTTATTCAACAAAAAATTCGAGTATCTCAAGTCCCTAAAAACTTGACACAACAAAATCCTAGTAGGATATTTTAAGGAAATTGCAAATCAACTTACAATTAAAGAAAAAGTATACAAAAATCAGCATAATTTTCAAAAAGTGAACAAAATGTCCAGTTGAGCCCATAAACATGGATTTAGTCATAATCATATTGGTGAAACATGTTCGCGAACAAAACGCTGTATTATTTGTCTAAATGCGAAGCTGTCGACTAAAAAATTTAGTTAAAATCTACTTTTAAGATTATTGAACTCTTCTTAATAACTTTTTGGACTGAGCTACATGTACCGTCCCCTCACATGTGAGAGGGTCTGCGCGCAAAAAAAAAAAATTGCAAGCCCCGCACATGTCAGGGGCTGTCATCCAAGCAGTGACCTTGGATGTATAAGTATCAATTCCCCAACTTTTTTGTCTAAAGCTACTGTCTATTAGGGATTAAAATAAGACTTTTAGTAAATTGTGATAAAAAAGAATGAAAGATGCAGTTAAAAAGTTACAGATCCCATAAGATATGTAATTAAAATTAATTATTGACTTCTCGGAATGTTTGACGTTAATCCCCTTGAAGTAGAGACAGAATGTTCTTTGGGAAGTCATAACTTTAAATGTTGTTTGATGTTCATTGTTTGTCTGTCTCAAGAATGATACAAGGACAAGCTGCATTCATTCATGTCTTTGTACATTTTATAACACTTTTTTCTTTCCTGATTTGTAGAAATGTGGAAACGCTGATGAACAAATAATACTGCTGAAGCATAAGCTTAGAAAGATATACTTAGGAGAGGCCTTCAATGGGAAGCCGACTAAGACCGCTCGTTCTCATGGGAAGAAGTTTCAGGTTTCAGTCAAGCAGGAAACTTCAAGAATACTGGTAATGATACTATTGCTACTTCATTTCTTCTTCAATTCTAATATGTGTCTTTAGCTCCAAACGCAATAATGGATCGTGATATAACCATGGTTTTTGGAACAGGGAAATCTAGGCTGGGCTTACATACAGAAAGGCAATTACATGGCAGCAGAAGTTGTATACCGAAAGGCACAAATGATCGACCCGGACACGAATAAGGCTTGCAACTTGTGTCAATGCCTAATAAAACAGGGAAGATACGATGAGGCAAATTTGGTTCTTCAAGACATATGGCAGTATAAACTACCAGGTTTCGATGATTCAAAGTCGAGAAATCGTGCTGAAGAATTGTTGTTAGAACTGCAAGAATCTGGGCAGACTCTGCCTTTGTTAACGCCGAGTCTTCCTGAAGGCCTAACCTTTGAAGATGATTTCGTTGAAGTGCTTGAACGTGTGATGAATGAATGGGCTCCTGCTAGATCAAGGAGGCTTCCAATTTTTGAACAGATTTCTCAGCATAGAGATCAGTTGGCCTGTTGATTTCATTGAAATTACTTTTATTCTTCTGTATCTTTTTTTATTTTATCAGTTAGAATATGTAAAATTATTAGAAAATCAGTATGTGGAATAATGGTTTGAGGGTCTCTAAATTGATGAACATGATGTTGGGACATGAGTTTGGAGAAAGAAATGCGCTCCATAGAGACTGCATTTCTTATTTGAAAAATAAAAAAATCAGTTTGTGACCTCAACAAATGGGTCACTTCTGTATTCGTCACCATTGTTTGGTCTAAAATTGTTATAGTTTTTTGTGTCTTAGTCTGAAACCATAGAGACTGCATTTCTTATTTGAAAAATAAAAAAATCAGTTTGTGACCTCAACAAATGGGTCACTTCTGTATTCGTCACCATTGTTTTGTCTAAAATTGTTATAGTTTTTTGTGTCTTAGTCTGAAACCATAGAGACTGCATTTCTTATTTGAAAAATAAAAAAATCAGTTTGTGACCTCAACAAATGGGTCACTTCTGTATTCGTCACCATTGTTTGGTCTAAAATTGTTGTAGTTTTTTGTGTCTTAGTCTGAAATACCTTTTCATATTTAGAAAGATGAATTTTTCTATTTGTACACTGAGTTGACACCTCGGGTACATGGGCACCCCTCTTGTGAGGGGGTCGGTACACCGAGGTGTCAGTCTTGATGTATGAGTAGACAAATGCATTAGAAAGATACCTAAACTTCATCTTTAGTTTTCATTACACATGCAATGCCATACGTGAGAACATATTATCCCCATTCATATACTTTGTCAACATGAATCAATTATAGATGGTTTTTCAGTGTTGAAAGCCACGAGTTGAATTAGTTACTAGAAAATGATTATGTATATTTGTATAGAATTAGGGATGGCAATGGGTCGAGCCGACTTTAACTCACGAGCTCGCGGGCCGGGTTGAGCCGAGCCGCTCGTGAGCTTGTGAGTTTTTTAAGTTTTTAATTTTTTTTTTTTGTAAATTTGCACATTTTAGAAATTTCATATTTTTTGACGAGCTCGTGGACTCAACGAGCCGAGCCTACTCGGCTCGTGGGATTGAGCCCCTGCTCAACTCGCGGCCCACGAGTCAGTTTTTGACGAGCCGCGGCCAAGTCGACGAGCCGAGCGCCCGTTTGACATCTCTATATGGAATGGAACTTGTTGGTACGAAACTGCAAGTGTTCAAAGTCAATTAAACAAGTTCAAAATTCATCATCGTACATAGATTATGTTATCTAACTATCAAGTTAGAAAATCATACTCCTTATTTGAAGAAAATAAAATTTCATGCAAAGTTTTGATTAAAACTAATACTAAAAAAGAAAGAAAAGCAATTAAATAAAAGCGATTCATTTGGATTATGTGTATCTTTGATTAAACAATCAAATATGATTGTTAGAGCATTGAAAACTCACGATTTAGCGCCTGTTTGGCACTTTTTTAAAATTTTAAATTGTTTGTTATAGTATGATTTTTTATCACAAATTCACACAATAAAATATTCTATACATAAACCAATAAAATTCACTTTTTAACCACACATTCTTCAAAAATACTATTCACGACTCTTTAATTTTCCAAACAATGGGTGACAAATAGGAGCTTAACTGTAGTTATCACTTTTTATGTCACCTCTCAAGTTCAATTTTTAAAGTTATATTTGATCATATTCACTAATTAAATCAATTATATTTAATTAAGTCAACTCACTATATCTCTACGTGATTTGAACAAGTCTTTTTTAAATGCATTAAACTACTTAAGAATCCAATTAAAGATTGTAAAATAGTAGAAGTATTTCTCTACCATTTAGCCAATTGTTGAATATTATTACATGGTCTAAATTTGTAACCTACCTTTTGATGTTTTGCAATTCATAGATCATGAATTAGTGATCAAATAATAAAAAAAAAAATGTAAAATTAATACAGAAATCAATTAACAGCATAGAGCTAGAGAATTGAAATTGAGAGCATAAAAAGTCTATTTTGAAGTAAACAATTAATTTCAATCACACATTTAATAGGAAAAATTAATTTGGGCTAAATGTTCCAATTTAGTTACTCAACATACAAGAATAAAAATACAAAAAAGTATTACAATACATTGTTGAACTCGAAAGTGTACCAATTAGAATCACTGCCTCCTTCCTTCCATACAAGTATCACTTGCACGTTGGAACACCCTGTTAGGAGGCAAAGGCTATCGACCGAGAAAAGGGTCAGATGACTATTTGCACTCCGACGGTCAAGTCAATAGTTGGACAAAATATAGAGAGAGTGCAAGAGATGGGGGAGGGAGTTTGGCTAGGTTTTTAGAACATACCTCAATTGTGAAATGAATCACATATATATAAAAGTGGAAAATGGGCCAAGTGGGCCGGACCCAATCTTAGGCCCAAAAAATACCTTGTTTAATTAAATGGTCAAATCCAATTCAATAGTTAATACCACGTCGGCATATGTGGCGTCCCCTCCGTCTGAGCATATCACTTAATTTATAGGTGTAATAATAGTCCCCAAGTTTGATTCGTACATTCATCTACGGATTAGACTTTGAAATATATGCTATTAAATACGGAAGATCTTTCAGATTGCCTCGAAAATATGAGTAATTCCAATAATCATTGACTTAAGAACTACCTTGAAAATGTGCATCAATCTCAATAGGTGATGGCTTACGAATTGCATTGAGAATATAAGCATCTCCAATAAGTGAGGACTTAAGAACCATTTCAAAAAAATCTGTGCGAGTCCAGTGAGCGACGTCTTGCAGATTCTCACCCTAATTCAATCTTTATTTTTTAATACTTCTATAAATTGATGTTTTTACCAGATTCATAAGTAGAACTTTACTTATTTTAATTATGAACCATTACTCCACAAATGATTTAGTATGAAAAAATATATATATTTATTTTTAAGTTTTACTTATTTAAGCAAACATGGTTGAAGAAAAGAGAATGAAAAATGAAATGGTTGGGCCGAAGAGAACTGGCCCCATATTCTGTTCACTTGGCGGCATGCAAAATGTACAATCAAATAGCAGCTGCTTCGTTCTTATAATCTTCTATTCGCATACTTTCCTCTTTCCTTCAGAATCTCTTGCAAAACTTCCATTAAACTGTAACTTATTTTCTTTTCTTTTCAGTGGATTTTTTTCTGCACCGAATCTGTAAATACATGTATATTTAATTTGTTTATATGTATTTTATGAAAGGAAAGGTTTCATACAGCTTTTCGCCATTTCTTCAACCCACTTTCATCGGTAGCTTTATCGTAAATTCCACCCAAATTTGGTTGACTATCTGTTGGAATAACCCTCAATTTAACATCACTTTTGGTGAGGACAATTGCTAGGCCAGCTCTATATTCTCCCCGTTTCAATTCGGTAAATCTAATTCGTAAACGATGATTTTGTCCGTATTCTATGACTTGTTGGATCGTTTGTTGTTGATGCTTGTGTGTGTATAGATGTCGATGCTTATAATTATGTGTATTTATAGATGCATAAATAAAGCATCTGTTCATGGTAAAATTTGGGGGTTTTGAGAATTTTGGTCAGGATATCTTTCTATAACCTTTTTCTTTCAATTTATGGACAATATGTTTTACGTAATTCGTCTTCTATGTTAGGATGAAATGGACTATAAATGTATTCTGAATTTTTTTTGCATTTGTTTCTTGGTTGTTTTTGACGAAGTTTCTGGGTAAAGTATCTTGGAAAGCTCGGTTCAATTTTTTTTTTTATTCTAAAGGGTTGTTAGTGTCTCAATAATTTTATGTTATCCTCTTGTAGGCTTGTATAGAGCAAGATGTTCTTAAAAGTCGAGTTTTTGGATTCTGCTTTTCTGAATTAGCTGAATGTGGTCATCACACCCATCCATTAATGGGAGGGGTTTGCCAAAATCTTGNAGTTTTTGGATTCTGCTTTTCTGAATTAGCTGAATGTGGTCATCACACCCATCCATTAATGGGAGGGGTTTGCCAAAATCTTGTGGATTTGAGTACAGGCATTGTTTGAGTTTGAGTTCATCATTTTGGGTGGTGAAATGTTTTGTACTTTGGCCTTCTCATAGGTGTTATTTGTGCTGTGAAGTTTAGGCCTTTTTATAATTCATGTTTTGTTAGTGAGTATTATATAAATCTTAGAGCATGATGTTATGGAACCTACTATTACTATTCATAAGACAACTGCAGGTCATAGAACTCATTAGTTACTGTTGCTCAAGATATTGTCAATAATTCTGTATTGGAGGTCTTATTACTTTGAGATTTGTACATTCTGTGTCAATGAAGTGTATTTATTTAATTCTTTTATTGGATTTCCGTCAGATATACTTGAAGTCGAATGAAGATGCTGTATTTCATTAACTCTGATCCAGTGTCCTGAGATTCAGAGGTTCCAGTATTGAGAAAGCCCGATACTTCTATCGGTGAGTAAATATGTGATGTGTCAAAAAATTTCTATATTGGATTGCATGGCATTGATAATATATTAACTGAATTAAAAATTTTCTTTATTGATTCTTGGTTCTTGAGGTTAAATTGCCTTCCTTTCTATGTTTGAAAGTTTAGACTTCTGATTGCATACACTTGAGTTCCTACTATGGCGGAAATTTTTTTGGTTCTTGCCATCATTATTTTGGGTTTGGGAATTGGGGTTGGACTTTGTCTTTTCAGTTCTTAGGGGATTGCTTTGGGAAGAAACTTCTTTATAAAGTTTTTATGTTTTTGCCTGATGAGGCAGTTATGATTTCTACTGCCATTTTACATAATAAAACAATGTTTTGTTCATTTTATTTGTACTATACTGCAATAGATGTTATGCTAATGAATTCATTATTAGCAACGTCGCACCGTGCAAATAGATGGCTGGTAGGAAGCGAAGCATTTCAAATGATGCAGATATGTCTACTCTGTACAAGGAATGGGATGAAGTTTCATGTCCTATATGCATGGACCACCCGCACAATGCTGTTCTTCTCATTTGCACTTCTCATGAGAAGGGCTGTCGGTCATACATTTGTGACACTAGTTATAGGCATTCAAATTGCTTGGACCGATTTAAAAAACTTGCAGGAGAAAATACAGACAGCTATACTACACTAGCACCCAGAAATCTGCATGATTTTATTAATGCTACTTCAAGTGGTTTGACTGGGGATGATGCGAATCATGATATGAACGCAAGTAACACTGCTGCAACTGTGGGAATGCCTGGAGGATCTGGAGGAAGCAGCTCATTTGATGCAGATTCTGACTTTGGAGAACGAGGAATATTGTGGGAAAGGTTTTATCGAGAGACTAACATGGAGAAGCCAAAACCACGATCAAATTTGAGATGCCCTTTGTGCCGCGGGAGTGTTCTGCGTTGGAAGGTTGTAGAAGATGCTAGAATGTATCTCAACCTGAAGTCCCGAAGTTGTTCTCGTGAATCATGCCCGTTCTCTGGTAACTATGGGGAATTACGTCGGCATGCTAGAAGTGTTCATCCAACTGTCTGCCCAGCTGATATTGACCCATCGAGACAACAAGCCTGGCAATGCCTTGAAGAGCAGAGAGTGAATAATGATATTGTTAGTGCCATTCGCTCATCCATGCCAGGGGCAATTGTTCTTGGTGACTATGTGATTGATAATGGAGATAGGCTATCAGGTGAAAGGGAAAGACTTTTACTTGGTGAGACTGTGTTTGATAATGGAAGTAGCCCATCAGGTGGAAGTGAACGAGTGCTTGGTGACTATGTATATGATAATGGAAGTGGGTTACCAGGTGGAACCGAAAGAAGTGGTGCTGAAGCGAGTCGGTGGCTAAGCACCTTCTTTTGGTTTCACATGATTGGTTCAATGGATCCAGCATCTGAGCGAAGAGTTGGTAGGTCAAGAGGTTTGGCAAGGCATCAACGCCCAAGTGGACCCTTTTCTAGACGGCGCTATCACTGGGGTGAAAGGTTGTTACAAGATGATGATGACGACGACAGC